GCCAAGATTTGAAGTTTTAATTAATTTTAGATAGATATATGCTTATAAGTTATCTTTTAATTCTCAGGTGGCTGAAGGTCTTGGCTGGTTTATATCGACGGTGATTTTGAAGAGTCTGGCTTCTGCAGTTCTTGGAGCTGCTGATGACGTAAGACAGCATAGACTTCTATAGATTTACAAGCCCAATGTAAAAAACACAATAATCCTCCGGAGCATTTCAGTATAAGCTGCAAAACAATGGCCGAGTTCAGTGGTAAAAAGTTAAGTCACTCCTCTTTTACCCTGTTTGGGTTACAGTTGTCAGTGCTTTGTGTCTAGATGTATTGTAAAGAAAATAGCCTTTTAATTTAATTACACTTTCCATTATGAAACAAAGTTTTGTTGAAAACTCTCTGCTTGCTCTCCAGTTCCACCTTGCCCAACCAACTACTGTTGTCTTTCAGCAGTTAAAAGCTAGACCTCCATTAAGACTTCAGCCCTGATCATTAGAAATGTGGAAAAAATACTTAATTTAATCCAGCAGACATGGGTGCACTGGGAGAAACTGGTGTACTTTAGACATCTTGAAATGAATAAATGAATTGATATTTGAGCTGTTTGTATTTATCGGATGTTTGGTTGAGTTTCAAAACCAGAGAGGATCTCGGAATATCAGTGGTACAGCTCTCCCTGCATCGCTAGCAGGATGTTCAGCATCAAAGCCTTATGAATGTTGTTTTTGCTAGATGCCTATCCCAATTTTCCTTGCGCTTAATATTCTTTCTTAATATTTCTTAAATTCTTAATGGTTTTTTTTATGGTGTCTTTTTCTCTTCAGGCACACATAAGTAGTCTGATCAAATCAAAGTTTACCAGTTATAAAGATTTTGACACAATGATGTACACCTGTGCAGCTGAATTTGACTTCATGGAAAAGGAGGTGTGTAACTTTATATTTATCATTCCTTTTATAGCTTCGATATTTGAGAAATTACGCATGACTGTTTCTAAATAACATCTGTATTTATCTATGGTATTTTATTACAAAATTATTTGTAATTTACCATGTTTTTCAAACCCATTCATGATAAAAAATGGCAATGCATGAAAAATGTTCTTTGTGATTTATCTGGGCCATACTGTTTTTCTTGTCAAAGGCTCTTAATGTTCCTCTCTTTTCAGACTCCACTGCGGTATATAAAAACATTGCTGTTCCCAGTAAACCTTTTAGTCTTCGCTGTAATTACTGGAAATGTAAGTTTCATAGTTATTGTTGCTATTATTTTTCAAAACACATGCTTTGTTGTGCGTTTTGTTTTTCTAATGCATGGCATCAAGATGACATATTTTTTTCAGTTTTTGTTTAGTCTCGGAAGGCACTTCCATGAAACGTTTAACGTGGGAAGTTTTGGGATGTAACCGGCACAGGGGTGGAAAAGACAATGAGAACCGTACCTGTCCCTCTGCTGGGGCTTCAAGGCTGGGCGACCCCTGTCCTGAAGCAGAACGTTTCTAAATTTTCATCCCATCTCGGATATTGAAGACTTCATTTGTCCAATGAAGTCGCACGTGAGGTGGTGATGTTTATAGCCTCTGCTATTCTTCTCATGCTTGAAGAAAGTGGATAAGAAGTGGCCACAGCTGATTTCCAGGTGGTAATTAGGAGGTTCCCCTAAAACTCATGGACCAGGACCCACACTGGCCGTGGAGAGCCACATTCCAGTTTTCAAAGTTACTCTTAAATCATCGGGTTGTAAAGACTTACAACTCATAAGTGATTGATTCATTTAGTAAGTTGGTCCATTTACTGTAAGTCTGGACCTGCCAGCTGCGGCCTTTGAGAGCTGAAAGGCGTCGCCATCTTCGTTTTCACTGGTC